GTGTGATGGTGGGGTCCCCGCCTTCGCCCATTCCAGTGTGCCGCCTGTGGTGGGCTAGCACCGCCTGGCTGCCCAAAACCACATCTGCGCTGGGAGGTAATGGGTATGCTGCTACGTATGCTCCCTGGCCTGACGCTGGCGTCACGTTGCGCTGCAGGTTGAGGCAGCAGCTGGAGGACCGCGAAGCAGACCTGGAGCAGCAAGTTGAGCGCGCGGTGGCCCGCCAGCTGGGGGCAGCGGAGCAGCGCTGGCAGCAGCAGCTGATGCCCGCGGCGGCGGAGCGCGGCGTGCAGCGCTGGGTGGCCGATGCGCTGCCGCAGCTGTTGCAGCCGATGCAAGATGCTGTGGCCGCTACCGCTGAGCTGGCGGCTGGCATTGCAGCTGATGTGGTGGAGGTGGCGCGGGAGGTGGAGCAGCTGGCGGCGGCGCACCGCAATCACGAGCAGCGGCTGTGCCGCTATGAGGAGGGCGCCATGCAGGCATCCGACGCTGCCGCCGATGCCTCCGCCAGCGCTGCCGCGGTGGAGCAGCTGCGGCAGCAGGTGCGCTCGCTCCAGATGGGCCACGCCCAGCTGGACGAAGGGCTGCAGCAGTTGCGGCAGGAGCAGGCGGCAGAGGCTGCGCATGGCGACTGGCAGTATCGGCAGCAGTCTGAAGCGGCGATGCCTCAGCTGCCGGCCGTGCAGCAGCGTCTGGCGGCGGTTGTGGACCAGCAAGCTGCTCAGGCCAAGACCACAGAGCACCTCGTCAGTTCGGGTGAGGCGCTGCATGCCTCCAGCGATGCATCTGCCTGGCGCATGCGCCACCACCTGTCTCCCTGCCTGCCCTGTGCAGTGACGACAGACGTCATGGCGCTTGCCCGGCACACAAAAGCGCTGGACCGGGAGGTGCGTTGTTTTCCTGTGCTGGTGGGCTGGGTTGGCTGGCTTCACGGCCCCACACTGCTGCGTGGAGCACTCACCCTCCCAGCGAGTCGCCGCGCCCCGACCCACCTGCCGCAGATGCGCCACCTGAGGAAGGAGGTGCAGCAGGCGCAGCAGGCGCTGCTGCAGAGCTGCTCCGTGTTCAGCCGTGCCCTCGCCATCCCCTCCCCCGTTGGCCCCTTCACCTCGCTGCCTCCCCAGCTGTGAGCCCTCGGAACCCGCTGCTCACTTGTGCGGCATGGATGAAGGAGTTGTGCGGCGAGGCCATGAATAGGTTGAATCGCTCGATGTATGGGTGTACAACAGTCATCCCTGCATGTGCTCGCCATGGGAGGTGTTCATCCAGGGCGTATGCATGGATTGCCTGCAGCTTGGTTGGCGACCGGTGGGACCCGTCTTATTAACATGAGGCTGGACTGGGGCAAAGGATTCAGCAGGTTGGAGAACTCTCAACTATTGCAGCCCTGCCACTGGCTGCAGCAGGATGCCGACACCTGTCTCAGCAGGCTGCCAATGTTTTGTTGACGGGCACAAGGCGCCTTGCAAGGCGGCGCTGAGGTGGCGCCGGTCCCATGTCCTTGGTGCCTCTTGCTGGGCAGCTCCATCGACTGCGCGCCTATGGCACTGCCAGCCTGCTTGCACCGGCCAGAACCTGAACAGAACGCGCTGGCCATGGGAGGGCCTGCTGGGTGACCCAGCGTTCCCGCCATCGCTATCTTCTGGGTATACTGAAGCGTTGACAAGCTTGATTTTCGTCTGCACATCGCCAATGGTGGAGCCCGACACAAATGCTGAGGAGAAGCCCAGCCCAGTGTGCGGCGTCTGCTCCAACCCGATCGATGAAGACGAGTATATTGCAGGCAAGCGGCGGGGTGGATGTGCAAGCTGGCGCGGAACCACTGCCGCGAAGCCAGCACCGCCGCCACGACTTGCGCTCCCTCGTGATTTTGCCTGTGCAGCCACGTGCAGCGGCTGCGGGCCGTGCTGCTTCCACGTTGATTGCGTCACGCCCATCCTTTTGAAGATACACCATGACTCCACTCGAGCCATGGAGCGAGCACGGGTGGGATGCAAGGCTGCGGTTTGGTTGGCATGCGCCGGTGTGCCACCACCGAGTGCGATGCGCTGCCTGCCCTGCCGACCTAGCCCGGTTGCCTGCCGCAGCGCCTCGTCAACACCAAGCCTGCCTACTACATGGCTACGCAGCACATGCGATGCTGCTCATCCGAATGTGGAGGTGGGCAGGCTCCAGCCAGCATCACCACTGTCGGGTCACACGGTCAGCTGCAGGGCCACACCCGGGCCACTTCTGGGCCTCAAGACCCACACCCAGACTGGCTCCCCAAGTGAGCGTCGTTCTGCTGCGCTGCTGCCCCGCATCTCGTGCAGGCAAGATTGTCGATGCCGACACGATCAAGCCGGTCAAGCCCGCTCTCTCGCCGCCGCCCGGGCTGCCGCCGCCAACCAAGCAGAAGCAGATGCAGGGGGGTGCTGCGGCAGTGCAGCCGCAGGCCGGCAAGAAGCAGGGCGTAGCGGCAGTCCCCGCGCCACCCTCCAAAAGGCAGCAGCAGCAGCAGCAGCGTGCGGTGGCTGCCGCCATGCGGGCGGCGGCGCCGCCCGGCTATGCCGCGGCCTCTGCCAACGGCGCCCCCTCCCGCGGCAGCGGCGCCAGGGTTGCCTCGGGCGGCGGCAAGCTCAGGTTCCCCCCAGGCCAGAAGCCCTTAGAATTGCAGGTGAGCCAGCCTTGCCTGAGAGGGGGACAGCTGCCTGGGGTGCCGAGGCCCTTTGCGCCACCTTCAATTGGCGTGCGCCCCGGATGCTGGCAGTCAGCCCAGCTGCGCTCGTGCCTGCTGCCTGCCTCCCTGCCTGCAGCTGTGCCCTGATTACGAGGACTATGGCGAGTGTTACATACACAAGTGCCCTCGCTGCCACGGAGAGGTGTGCGCCCGGCGTGCCGGTGCCTGTGCCGCAGCTCAGCGGCCCGCCCCAGCGCCTGCTGCCGCGCCGCCTAATGCGCGGTGCACCCCTCCCTGCTTGCTCACACGGGGCGCTCGTCGTCGTGCATCCCTTTGCAGGAGGAGCTGCTGCAGCGGGAGCAGGAGTGGGCAGCTCGGCAGGAAGCCAAGAAGCGGTGGGCCTCTGCCGCCTGGCCCAACCGCCGCCGCGCGCCTCCCACGCCCGGCCCTCACTACCTGTGCCCTGCCACGGGCCGGCCCTGTGCCCTCACCCTGTGCGCCGCCTGCTGCACCCCTGGCCTGCAGAGAGAAGCGGCAGGAGGAGCTGCAGCGTCACGAGCGGCACCAGGCGGAGCGCGCGGAGCAGGCGCAATGGGTGGAGCAGGTGTGGGGCGGCTGGGGCACCACGCCCGCGCCTTGTGTAGCCACAGCCGCCAGCCAGTTGTTACCGCCAGTCGCCCCCCTGGCTGTGCCCTCTGCCCACACTAGACCATGCTGGTGACGCGCTTGCCGCTGCGCCCACGCTGCGCGCCCTCCCCTCTCCTCCCCCGCAGGTGGCGGCGCGTGAGCTCGAGGTGCTGGAGCACGAGGAGCAGTACCTGCAGATGAGCGAAGCTGCCCTGAAGCTGATGAAGGAGTGAGCGCTGCTGGGGTGGCGCCGCCAGTCGTGCCGCTGCTTGTTTCTGCTGGTGGTGGTGGTAGGGTGCAGAGCAGAGGCGGAGCACTGCAGGGGTTCAGCCTGTAGCGGGGCCCTGGCCTGCTCCCCGCTCATCTGCCGCCAACGCCTCCTGCCTGCCCTCCTCTCCGGCCGCCCGCCTGCAGCCACAAGCGCGCGCTGTGCGTCGCCGCTCTGAGGGACATGGGGTTTGGCGAGGGCGCCGCCGCAGCCGCCGCCGACGCGGCCGCCGCCGACGTCAGCGCCGCCGCCGCGGCGCTGATGGAGGGGGGGCTGTGCGCGGGCGTGAAGCCCGTCAGCGTGACGGGGTGCGCCTGCTGAGGGGCGAGCTGGGCATGCTGCCGCCCTGACCCATGCTGTGCATGGCGAGTCGCGTTTGTTTTGTTGTCTTGCACCAGCCTTTGCTGCAACAGTGGTAGCCTGCCTCTGAAACCGTCCTGGCAATGCTCCTGCCCCCTTATCTATCTATCTATCTATCTGCCTGCCTGCCTGCCTGCCCTGCCTGCAGTGAGGCGCAAGAGCTGTTGGCCTATGCCGCCTCCCTGGGCTTGGGCCTGCCCGAGGTGGAGATGGCGCTGCTGATGGGCGGCGGCGACTGGGACGCCGCCCGCCTGGCGCTGCACCAGCAGGCCGAGCAGGCGGCCGCCGCCGCCAGCGCCGCCGAGGCCGAGGCGGCGGCCGAGGCGGCGGCGGCGGCCGCGGCGCGCGAGGAAGCGGAGCTGGCGGCGGCGATGCAGGCCAGCGCCAGCGGCGCCGCCATGGCCTACCGCATCGCCCAGCAGGCGGCGGCAGCTGCCGCGGATGCCAGGGAGGAGGCGGAGCTGGCGGCGGCGCTGGAAGCCAGCAAGGCAGAGGCGCAGCGCCAGCAGGCGGCCTTCTCGCTGCCCTGGGCAGCGGCGCAGCTGCCCGCCGCCCAGCATGCCGCGGCGGCGGCGGCTGCGGAGGCCTTCTCGACCGGATGGCCCGCCAGTCAAGCTTTGCAGCAGCAGCCGCAGCCGCCGCCGCAGCAGCAGCAGGAGTTCTTCAAGCCCGCAGGCCCCTCCAGTTTGCTGTGGTACGATGCCTCTGCCAAGCAGCAGATGCCGGAGTACCGCGGCGGATGGGACGTGGGCCCCGCCGCCGTGGCAGCAGCCAGCGGGCGCAGCAGCGCGGCGTCCCCCGCCCCCCTCGCCGCCGCCGCCGCCGCCGGTGGCGCGGCACCCTTGGCAGACCCTTGGCAGCAGCCGGTGAAGCAGCACGCTGCACAGCTGGCCCTTGGCAGCGGCGCGCCCGCCCTGCAGCGCCTGGATAGCGCCAGCAGCATCGGCGGCGCGGCGGCCGCGGCCGACGGATGGAACGCCGGCTTCGCCGCGGGCCGCCCTGCCGTCGCCGGCGCAGTGGCGGCAGCACCTGCGGGCCCCGGCCGCTACCAGCAGCGGCCTGCAGCTGACCTGGCGGCGGCAGTGGCTGCCGCGCAGCCGGCGGCGGCGGTAGTGCAGGCCAGCTGGGGAGCAAGGAGGCCCGCGGCGGCGCCCCCTGTGCCGCCGCCGCCGCCGCAGCCACCGGAGCCTGAGGTGGCTGAGCTGATGGCACTGATGGGCATTGCCGGGTAGCCGCCAGCCGCCGCCGCAGCAGCAGCGGCTCAGCGGGCGGCCCTGGACGAGGCGGGGCGAGCTGCGTCTGGCCTTTGAGGCAGCAGTCGGGGGTGCATAACCACGCATACGCCCAAATTAAAGGCGGCGCGAGATGGGCTTGGCACTGTGCGGCGGCGCTGCACCGCAGCTTGGCCGCCGGCAGTGACTCGAAACATCTTGCGGCCGCTCCACCCTGAAGCACCCCCTTGCTGTGCCTGCCCGCTCCCTGCATGCATTTCGCTGCTGCGCAGCCCACATGCCCTGCGCCTGCACATGCGAACATCGCCTGCGCATCATTGCAACAGAATGTGATTGATGATGCCAGCTGATCGTCTCCAGGGAATCAGCCAGCAGCGCCGCAGCGCAGGCGCCTGCATGAGCATTGCATGGATGCCGCTGTCAGTCCACATGCGCGCATGCCTCTCCCCCAACTTAATCAGTGCTGGCAGCTCTCCCTGAGGGAGAGCCAGATCAGAATTGTCACAATCCAATGTGGAATGTCATGCATGAACAAGTGAATCAAATTGGGGGATGATTCAGATGCTGGAATCAGGCCACGAAAGGCCAGTAATGTTTCCGCTGTTTATCTTCGGGATCGGAGCCACGCAGGGCAATCGCAGCCTATCCAGCTCGAGTCACCCACAGCTGACAGCGGCTGACACTCCGATCGTGGTTGATGATGGCTCCCCGTGTGGGCCTCGCGGCGTTTGCGCTGCTCGCAATGGTCGTGTTGGCGAACGCGGTGGATGTGAAGATCGGTGGGACTGAACGGGCTGCCCAATTATTGCCGGCGAAGGCTGGCATCGGCCATGCATGCACACATGTTAAGCACGGCCTGCATTGCCAAATTGCACCAGCGAAGCTGGGCGGGGCCTCGACGAAGCAGAGATGAATTGGCATAGATCCGCTGCCGATTGATGCTCGGCTGCCGGAGGCGCAGGCGCAGGACCGCGGCTGTGGGCGCCCACAGCCGCACACGGCTGGTGCCAGCTGTCTTGCACCTCTCTCGGTGCCCACCTGCCTGCACCAGTCCCCTCCCAAGCCTCAAACCTCTCCTTCCACCCCCGACCCGCGCCTGTCTACGTCCGTCCCTGGCTGTGCCGCAGGCTACAAGCCCATCCTGCGCTCCTCCGCCTCTGTGCCGGGCACCCCGTTCAAGTTTGGCCAGGTGCTGACCAAGAATCTGCGGCCGATCTACACCGTCGACGTGAGTAGAAATGCGCTGTGGGGGGGTGTTTGAAGCGCCTCCTGGGAGGAAGCGAGCCCGGAGCCATGGTGGAAGCACGGCGCGTGGCAGCGCTCCTGCCAGAGTGTGCCGCATCCGCTGGGTAGCACCCAAGCAGCAGAGCCGGCACCCCTCCCCATCTCTCGGGTGCCTCCTGCTGGCGCAGGATGCTGGCGTGAAGACCAGCACGCCCCTCATCAGCAACGAGCCCGACTTCAGCTCCCTGCACAAGGTGGGCCCAGGCAGGCATGGCCGGTGTGTTACATACGGCGTGTGCAGCAGGACCTTCCTCACTGTTGCCTGATAGATCGCCAGGTGACGCACCATGCTCCCTGCTGCACACCAACGGCAGGTCGGCTCTAAGCTCTTCCTCATCACCCACTTCGAGTCGCCCCGCCCCGGTTCCATGGTGGGTGGGCGTGCCAGCGGACGGCCAGGCGCCTGCTGTGCCTGCTCTGCCTACCTGGCTGCTCCTGCCTTCGGGGGTACTGTGCCTGCTGACGGCCACCAGCTGGCCACCAAGGCTCCCTGGCAGCACACATTAGTGCGCCGGCGCTCCGGAGTTTAACCCACGTGGTGCACCTGAGCAGCCCCGCCACTATCAAACCGACAAAACACACGCCTGCCCCACAACCCTGACCTGCCACCCTGCCGCCCTGCCCTGCAGTACGTTGTGGAGCTGAACCAGGCGGCCAATGGCACCCTGACGCCCAAGTCCATGAAGGCAGGCTTGGGGGCGCTGGGCTGCCTGAATGCATGAAGCACACCTGTGGGTCACCCACACCCACACCCGCATCCACTGCACCCTGCCTGCTGCCGCAGCACGTCAACTGGGCTGCCGTTCACGGCCTGTGGATCCCCTGCGCCGGCAGCGTCACCCCCTGGAACACCCGCCTGGCGGGAGAGGTGCGCGGGGATGCGGCGTGGCGGGCCCGGGCTGCCACGCCAGCAGCTAGCAAACATCGGTGCTGACACTCGTCGCCACCAGCCGCTTGCCAACGCCCGCCCTCGCGCCTTGCACCATTCACCGGCCAGCCCTGCTGCCTGCCCTGCGCTCCAGGAGTACGAGCCTGATGCGCGCCCCATGTCCCAGGCAAGCCCGCTCCCCTTGCCCTGCCCCGCCGCGCACCTGCATTCTTCGCTGCCAAGCCTGGCCTGCCGCACCTTTCCATGCTGGCAGCTTGCCGCTGGCATCTCGCCGCCGCTATGCGGCGCTGCCAGGCGCCTCGCCGACCTGTGCTGACCCCCGCCACCCGCTCACCGGCGCAGGCCACCGACCTGGACAGCCTCAAGGAGCTGTTTGGCGGGTCGTGGGGCGATGTGGAGGGCTTCATGAAGTGCGCAGCCGCCCCGCGGCACCCAACCGCCTGCCTGGATGCGCGGCATGCCCCCCCCCCTTACCCTTGCAAGCCTGCACACAGCAACATGTCGGCCCAAGCGGGCTCCCTCTGCCCGCCGCACAAGCTGCACCTCGCCACGCATGCCACACCAGCGGCAAGCCGCTCACCTGCCCGTCGGCCCGCCCGCCTCCCCTCTCCCACCGTAACCGTACCGCAGGTACTACGGCCTGTACCCCAACCAGCTCACCTTTGCTAACGTGAAGGCCAACTTCAACCCGTACCGCTACGGACACATCGTGGAGGTGCGCCTGCTTGATACTGGCGGCTGTGCAACGTTGCACGTGCACCACACATGCAGTGGTGGCGCGGGTCAGGGCCGCATGCACAGGCGGGCTGGCAGCCATGCTCATTGTGGTGTGTGGGCCAGCAACCTGTGAGGTGTCGGCGACCATGCCTGGCAGACGCGCACCCGCCCGCCTGCCGCCATGCCCGCCTGCAGAACACGATCAAGATGGATGGCAGCGTGACTGTGGAGAAGTATTACACCATGGGGCGGGCCGCCTGGGAGCTTGCGTGAGTAGGGGGGGATGCCGCCGGGGGGAGCATGGCATGAGGCGCGGGCCCCACAGTGCCTGCGGCCCGGCAGCGCAGCTGCTCTTGGAGGCAGGAGGTGCGGGCGGGAGTCGGGCTCCTGCCCGCCCCTCCACTGAGATGTGTGGAGGGATGCGATGCCTCCAGGGCTCCGCCACACCCTGCGCCCTTACATGCACACACACCATGGTGTGGCCACGTGGTGCGAACAAGCAGACCACCATCACCACCACACCGCCTGCCACACACCACCACCTGGCCATGCCACCCCCTCCTCTTTGTCTGCCGCCTGACCCCGCAGGTATGTGATGCCCGATCGCCGCACCGTGTACATCACCGACGACGGCACCAACGTAGCCTTCTTCAAGTTTGTGGCAGACAAGCCCGGCGTCCTGTCCGCCGGTGGGTGTGCGGCTGGCGGCACTGGAGGCTGCAGGGCCCGGAGCTTCGCTGCAGCTTGGGCGGGCTCCCTGGCGTGCAGACATATTGGTGAAGCGACCCTTCGCCCAATGGGCCGCCGGGGCTGCTCTCCCTCCCTCCCTGCACTGCAGGCAGCCTGTATGCCGCCAAGTTCACCCAGACCGGCAACATTGGCGGCGGTCGCTTCGACATTGACTGGATCCTGCTGGGCAAGGGTGCGTGGGGGCCAGGCCTGGGCGGCATGCATGGGCCCGCCTGCCTGCTGCGCCGCACCTGGAGGCCACGTCTGCCCGATGTGCCTGCGTGCTGCTTGCTGCTTCCCCACACCGCCTTCGCCGCCCTTCAGGCAAGAATGGCGAGCTCAAGGCACTGGGCGAGTCCACCAAGTTCTCAGACATCTTCGAGACAGGTCAGCACAGCTGCTGTTGCCGCTGCCGTTAGAGTTGCCCAGGTGCTGCAGGCTCAGCGGCAGGCGGCGATGGTTCGGCGGCATGATCTCCACAAAACCGTGCCGCCGTCACCTACCACTGATCCGAAAGCGCTGCGCAAGCCAGCTGCAGCGCTGATGGCCGTACAGCGTTTCCGGCATGTCGCAGTGCGCCTGCTGCTCGCAGGAGCCGAACGCGGTCGCTGATTCACTGCTTCACGACCGTCCTGCCATCTCACACCTTCCACCTTGCAGCCTCGTTTGATGCTGAGGCCAAGACCTGCCCCGCCGGCTTCAAGAGCATCAACCAGGACGATGTGGGCCCCGAGTGCCTGAAGCTCAAGGTGAGGCCCCCTCCGTGCATGCATGCACCAGCCTGGGGATGATGCAGCCCAGCGGCAAGCGCAGGCCGCCATGAAGCAGGCGGCGACGCATTGCAACCGAGTGCCGCCGGCATCGCCCGCAATCGAATGATGCTTTGTACGGCTGGCATCTGGTGTGACCTGGGCGTGCATGCCCCCCCCCCCCTTCGCCATGCCGCAGACCGGCATGGCCAAGGCGGCCGCCTTGCTTGTGTTGCTTGTGTGGGCTTAAAGTCTGGTAAAGCAAGAACTAGCTTGCAACATAGACTCCCCGCCGAAACGGGACGGGAACCGGGCGAAAGCAGAGAAAGCAATAAAACAGGGGTGGAGCAAGGCGACATGCAACGCAAGCAGCTGACAGGGCACGCATCGAAACGTGTGTATGACTGGCAAAGTGGCATGGCGCATTGGGGAGAAACGCAACGGTACGGGAGCATGGGCTGGCCAAACGGCAGTGCGGAACGCTAGGTCACTAGAAAAGCAGGGAAAGGCGCACTATGTATGCAATGAGGGCAGCCCCGGCTCGGGGCCGTTGAGAAAGCAGTGGGCGGGAGGGGGGAGGCCCCGGTGTGGGCGGGCCCCATCGAGGGGGGATGGGGCGCGCAAGCGGCCAGATGGGGCGGGGCGCGGGCGGCAGTAGAGTCCTGCGGCTGGGTGGGATATAGGGCAATGAGCGTTGAGCAGTGTGCGATGAGCAATGAGCAATGAGCAGTGAGCAGCCCCTCCCGAAACAAAGTGAAGCGCAGGACGGGGTCCGGTGGATGGGAGGCAAGGAAGCGCGGGGGGTTGCCACGTGCGCTACCGCCGCCGCCGCAGGCAGCACCCCTGCGGCGGCGGCAGCGGCAGCAAGCCGTGGACCCAAACGCCGTGCCGCCGCCGCCGCAGGCAGCACCCCTGCGACGGCGGCGGCAGCAAGCCGTGGACCGAAACGCCGTGCCGCCGAGTCCCGTGGCTGTGGCCGTGGGCTTCTGGCAGGAAGCTACGGCCGCAGCTCGGTGGCTCGGGGGCGTCGCAGCGTGCCGCCGCCGCCGCCGCGCTGCCCCCCGGGCACGGCGGCGGCGGCAGCAAGCTTGGGCCCAAACGCCGTGCCGCCGAGTCCCGTGGCTGCGGCCGTAGACTGTGGGCCGGAAACTGCGGCCGCAGCTCGGCGGCACGCGGTTCTGTTCAAGTCGCCAAGCGTGCAGCAGCGCCGAACCACGCTTCCCGGCCTCGGCGCATGCCTTCAGGGGCCCCCTATCGCTGGGCGCACCCCTCCAACACCGAACATGCGCCCGGGGGGGAGGGCGGCCCGGGCTGCCCAGGCCAAAGTGGGCCGCCCTCGAGCAAGAGGCGGCCGGTCTGTGCCTTCCTGGAGACCCGGCGCTACGCCGCCATGAAGGGCGCCACCACCGAGTTCTCCAAGTGAGGCTGGGCGGGCGCTCCCTTGCTTTCTTCCCGTGCCTTTCTGCTGTGCATTCTCTCCTGCACCTGTGCTGCCTGCTGGCTGCAACCCCTGCCATACCTCGCTGACTGCGCTTGACTGGCCTGCAGGTGGGAGGTGAGGCGCTTGCCCCGAAACACGCCGCTCGGGAGGAGGCGCCGTCGGCGGCGGGTGGCTGCTCCTCTCCCCGGGCTGGTTGCCTGCACGAGCGGGCCTGCCCATCAGCCACCTACGGCTGGCCGAAGCCAGTGGGGTGACAGTGCGGTGCACCAGCACCACGTGCCTGCCTGCCTGCCCAGCTCAACAGGCTCATGTCACGCCTGCCTGCCTGCCTGGCTCCCATGCAGGGCATCACGTACGACAAGCACCGCCGCGTGCTGTACACCGCCATGAGCGCTGTGCGGTACGGTATGGAGGACAACCAGGCCAAGGGCAAGGCGGAGGAGAAGTGAGGGACGGGGGCAGGGGCAGCGAGGGGCAGCGAGGGCAGGGTGCTGGGCCGCGGCGATGCGTGGGCTGCCGCCGATGCATGTGCCGCTGATGCTGGCGTCGCACTGCCCGTCACGCGTGCGCCTGGGTGGGTGCAGGTACGATGTGGGCGGCCCCAACCACATCCGCGTCGGCTACAACAAGTGCGGCTGCATCTACCAGCTGCCGGTGAGGGGAGGAGGCCGAAGCCGGCATGGCCGCCGGCGTGCACGGCTGGCAGGCGTGGCGGGCTTACTTGTGTCGGCGAGGGCACCCGCAGTCGCCGGCTGTCAAGTCCACGCGGCATGCTACCCCGCACTGCACTTGGTGAACTCGCTCCTCCCCCTCCGCCCTCCCCCTGGCCGCAGGTGGACAAGCAGTACAGTGCGCTCAGCATGAAAGGCCTGGTCTGCGGCCGCCCCAACCCCAACGAAGGTGGGCGGGGGCTGGGCCCGCGCCCAGAGGCGCGCCCCACGCGCCGCCCCACATGGTCCCTGTGCCGCTCGCGCAGCGCAGCGAGGCGGCCGCGGCTCTGCTCCGTCCCCAGCTGCCGCCATCCCCGCAAAAGTTTGCTGCACTGCGCGAGCCTCCCCACCCCCCACCTGCCCTCCACCCTGCCTCCGCCGATGCCGCACTCACAACCACCCCCGCCCCTGCCTCCTCCCCCTGCCCTCACTCCCGCAGCCGACGAGGCCAACGAGTGCGACCTGACCCGCATCGCCTCCCCCGACAATGTCGCCTACATGCCCGAGATCGACGCCCTGCTCATCGGGGAGGTGCGGCGCGCTGCACGCGCGTGCCGCCGCCGCATGCCGCCGCCGGCGGGCGCGCCGACCTGCGCAGCAATCTGCACAGCGCGCCCTGCGGGGCTGCGTGCGCGTTCGCGTCGGATGTCCAGTCAGGCTGGGCAGGGGGATTGGGGGGGCGGCGGCATTCACCACTCTCTGAGAGAGTGGTGTGCAGCCCTGCATGCCCAGTCAGTCAGGCAGTCAGTCAGTTTACAGCGCTGCAGCAGCCCTGCATGCCCACACATCATCCACACATCCACACAGCTACGCCTCACCCCCATGCCCCCCCCCCACACACACACACCCTCTGGTTGACCAGGACACGGACTACCACGAGAATGATGCCCTGTGGTCCCTGGACATCAAGACCAAGCGACTGCAGCGCCTGCTGACCACCCCCTACGGCGCTGAGGTCACCTCCCCCTACTGGTTCCCCAACATCAACGCCCACGCCTACGTCATGGCCGCGGTGCAGCACCCTTATGAGGACCGTGAGTGGGGCTCCCCTGCCACGCCTGCAGCCGCCTGCTCGCCTGCTCGCAGCCGCCTGCCTGCCTGCCTGCCCGCCTGCCTGCCTGCCTGCCTGTCGGTGTATGTCATTGACACTGCATGAGCACAGCAGGAGCATGCCGGAAGGCTGTGTGCCGCGGCACATGCGCACCACCGCCCCGTTCCGCCGCGTGCTGCAGCGTATGATGTTAAGCTGGGCGAGCCCGAGTCCAGCGGCGCCGACGGCTGGGTAGGCTACTTCACGTGGCGCACCTCGGGTGAGGGCGGGGCCTCCCCTGCCTGGCGGGGGCCACACTTTGTAAAAGCCTGCTGCTCGGTGACGCATGACCGGTGGGTGGCCATGGCCAGTGGTTGCCGGCATGTGTGCCTGCCTCGCGCACACGCCCGCAAACGCCCGCTGCTGCAGCCATGGCGGGCGCCAGGAGCGCTTCCTTTGTGGACACCCCGGTCCCCATGACCAACGCGGCCAAGCACGGCGTGAACTTCAGCAAGAAGGTGGGCTGATGGGCAGGCTGGTGGCCGCCCCAGGGGCAGCGCCTGCCGTGCCGAGCTGAGCACATGCCGCCGAGAGCTGGCTGGGCCGGGCTTGCTGTGCTGGCTGCGGCGTGGGCACAGCCCTGGCTGCCGCCCGCCCGCATGGCCCGCTGGCGGGGATGCGAGCACACGCGTGTGGCTGGCTGCATGCTGAGCCGTGGTGGTGGGGTGTGTGCGGTACCACCTGCAGGTCAGCTTCCTGCCCAAGAAGGCGTCCAGGAAGATGTGAAGGATGTGCAGCTGCCTTGGGAGCGGCCACCACCTGTGACCCGGGTCGCAGGCATGCGTGCGGCCCACCCCGCGGCCGGAGGCACGCCACGCAGCCTGTCGGCTCGTGGCGGCTTGCCACCCAGCTGGAAGGAAGCTCAGCTGCCGCCAGCAAGTTGGCTCGGCTCCCTGCCTCTCTCCCCCCTCTTTTCCCAAATGGCCAGCGCCACACCCATTCATGAGGTCATCCATCCCGCAGCCTGCCCACAGGCTGCAGCGATACTTTTGTACTGCAGTACTGCTATTCGTACATGAAGCCCACTCCTTTTGGTACCCCCTCATCCCATTTTGGCTGCTGCACGCTGCGAGTTTCGATTTGCCCACCTGTCTTCGATGCATCCTCCCGTTGACATGCCCTTGGCTGCATTCATGCAGCGGCTTGCCCCTCGGATTTGTGCCCCCCCCTGCTCACCCCCTTTGGGCCTGTGTTGTAAAATGCTTGGACAACTGAAAGCATGGATTATCACCTCTGATGGATTGGAGCACCACCACCAGTTAGGTCCCAACGAGCTCCTTACATTGCAAGCACACCCTAGTCAGCAGGGAATGGGCAACATGAAAGCAGCAAGGAAGCAGGGGTGCCGTCCAACAGGGCGAGTTGGCAGCGTTGGTCAGATGTGTGGCAGCACAGCGCCCCATGCCATGGCAGGCAGTCAAGGCGCTCCAATCAGGTGCCAATGCAAATGGTGGTCAGAGGGCCTCTCTATGGCAAGCGAGTGCAATGGCTGCCAGCACAGCTCACACGCCTCCCTCAAGCGGGTACAGCGCCCGCAGCAGCCCGTAGCACACGCCGGTGGCAGCCACTGCCAGCGATGTCTGCTTGACTGCCTCCGTAGCCCTTTCTGCAGGCAGGCAGGCGGCCAACAGGAGGGCACGCTCACAGCAGCACATGCTGGCTGCCAGCTGCTGCACAAGGAAACTGCTGACTGCCGCTTGTGCAACACATATTCTGGCTGTTCGCAGTGCTCTCACCGAGCAGGCCCGGCTCAGCCACGGCTTCATGCTGCTGCTGCTCCTCAGCCGCTGCCGTGCCGCCTGCCGCCTCTGCAGCCTTGCGCTTGCGCAGGGCGCCAGGCTGTGCTGCAGGCTTGGCCACCGACTTGGCTGGTGACGGCGCAGTGGCAGCCTCCTCCATCACCTCCTCCATCTCCTCCTGGTCATCCGCCTGCTGCTGCTGCTCCACCTGCGCCGCCTTTGCTGCTGCCGACGAGCGGCGCCGGGAGGCGGCCGGCGTCCTGCTGCTGGTGGCGGCGGCCTTGCGGGGCGACTTGCGCGGAGGCGGCCGCACCTCCTCCTCCTCCTCCTCTTCACTGCCGCCCACCACCCACGTGCG